TATTGGGTTTAACATTTATTGATTGTTTTGATGATTTTATTTTAATTATTTGTTGGTATTATTATTTATATTAGTATAATCTTTTATTAAAAAAATACGATTCGCAAAATCTTAGAATATTGTACTGACACAATTATCTGAAGTTCAATTATCCGAATTTCCGCAGTATAAATTTTGGATAGCTATATAATTATCTGATCTGGATTTGTATAAATGATTGTTAAATATTGTGGGTGTTTAAACGGCGAGTCTGTCGCTCCAACGAATCAGTTCTCGCGTAACCAACAAAGACCAAAAAGAATACTAAACCTCAAAAGAGACGTTTATTTGGCCGGGTTAATAAAGTACTTCTCTCTTTATTCAAACCGTTGCTATCTCTACTTCTCTTTTCTCTAAAATAACGATTCTTTTTTTTTACACAATCGGTTCTTCTTCCTATCTGATCGCTTGCTTCTTTTGCATCGATCTTACATAAAATCTGATTACTAATTCTACAATGTACGCATTAAATATGCTTATTAATAGCAAAAGCTTGATATTGTAGGCTTAAATAAACTATCCTAATCACGCACATTTGGGCATTTAAAGTCGCGAAACTACGATGCAATCATGTGTTTGTGGCGACATTCCGATCCACCTTAACAATACAAACCCTAATGCATTATTCAAAAGTTCCCGAACAATTTTTTTAATAGTCAATAAACTAAGGAAATTATAAATACTGTAATAGGTCAACAAAAATATATCGAATTTTGAATTTTAAGATTTTATTTAAATAATAATTTAAGAATAATCCCAATATATATGTAAATGAAATAAAAATAATAATAACGTTAACCCACAATATTAAAATATCAAACTTTAAAAATGCGGCCTTTTGAAAATCTGTATAATATTCTGAATTTTTGATTAATAATCTGAATATTAAAATAAATTAGTTGCTTGTTTTTATTTTATCTAATTTATCACATTTTTGTAAAGAAAATTTTTATTTACCAAATTCAATCACAATTTCTTCTTGTTCGGTTCTATCTTCGCTCTCTCTCTCTAATTTATATATAATAAAGTTAAATTAAGTTTAAATAAATTTATTTTTAAAGTCAAATTATTTATTTACCAAATTCAATCTCAATTTCTTCTTGTTCGGTTCTATCTTCGCTCTCTCTCTCTGAATTTATATATAATAAAGTTAAATTAAGTTTAAATAAATTTATTTTTTGAAGCTATTTATAAAATTTACCGATCTTTGAAAGAGAACTATTTAGAAGTTCTGAATAATTTATTGAAAATTCGGGTTCAATCCTATCAGCTTCAAATATTTTGATAAATTCTTCATTTTTTGTCCATTTATCTAAAATTTCTTGAATTTCATTTGCCGAGGGACGTTCATCTTTATTTGCATTTGTACATCTACGTGATAAATCTTCATATATCTTTGGTGTTCCATTCACAAATTTTGGACGACCACCCTTGTGTATTTCATTCATAAAATAACGTTGATGAGTAGTGTTTGCTTTGCTAATTCCCTTACAGAACATTCTTCCGTTTGAAACCTCTGCCATTATTATACCAAAGCTATATATATCAGCTTTTTTAGTATAAGGTTTTTTATTCAACACCTCAGGGGCCACATAAGGCAAAAGCCCAATGATTTCTTCTTTAGCCCCATCACTCTCACTCAAAAATCCTAAATCTGCAACATATGCACTATGTAAGTTAACCTGAAATATGTTGCCGCTATGTAAATCTCGATGAATACGATCTTGAGAATGTATCGTCTGAAGATCAGAAGCAATGCATTGTAACAGATTCAACTTTTTTTTCCATTCCATTTCCGCAACTTCCCGTAAATTTTTACGTAAATTTCCAAGTTGTGCATATTGCATGACTAAAATATCATTACCATCTTCATCTTTTGATTTTCCATAACATTGAAAAAATGTGAGATTTGCGTCTCCAATATAAGAATACGCTTCTAACTGTAAAAATTATATATGTTAATTAATTAAATAAAAGTTTTATATTGCCAATGTTATTAAATAGTTACCTCGTTCTCAAAGTGTTCACGATTATAAAACACTTTAAGTGCAACAAAATCTGTTTTAATACATGTTGCGGTTGAACGTTTCCACGTAGCAGAATAAACGGTTGCAGATATACCTTCTCCGATTATTTCCTCTTTTTTTAATTCATCATATGGAATCGATGGTATATGTTCATCATTGGTTACTTCTTGGTTATTTTTTGATTTTTTCAACCATTTATTAGCTTCATCAAGATTAGATAATGTTCCGATACCATTTCGATAACATAACCCAAGCCTATATTGTCCATTGCAATTACCGCCTTCGGCAGATTTTTTATACCACTCAAATGCCTTCTTTTCATCCTTGACGATGCAAATACCAAATTCATAAAAATATCCAAGATTATATTGTCCATTGGAACTACCACCTTCAGCAGACTTAGAGCACCATTCAAATGCTTTCCTTTCATCCTTGGCAGTGCCTGTACCTTCTTTATAGCATAATCCAAGACTGCATTGTCCATCGGAATGACCATTTTCGGCAGATTTTTTTATACCACTTGAATGCCTTCTTTTCATCCTTGGAAGTTCCTTTTCCATATTTATAGCAAAACCCAAGATTGAATTGCCCATTGAAACTACCACCTTTTGCAGATTTCAAATACCACTCAAATGCGTTATATTCATCCTTGTCAGTACCAATTCCATATTCATAACAATATCCAAGAATACATTGTCCATTGGAATGATCACCTTTGGCAGATTCTAAAAACCACTCAAATGCTTTCTTTTCGTTCTTGGAAGTTCCTACGCCTTCCTTATAGCATAATCCAAGATGATATTGTCCACGGCAATCACCACCTTCGGCAGATTTTAAATACCATTCAAATGCCTTCTTTTCATCCTTTGCAGTGCCATATTGATAAGAATATCCAGTTTTAAATTGTTTGCTGGGATCATCGCCTTTATCAGATTTCAAATCCTGCTCAAATTCATATTTTTCGTCCATGTTACTTTCACTTATTTGATCATCTGTAAATTCAAGAACAAGGTCAAGATTTAGAATTATAATGATAAATAATAATGTTAAATTTGTGTTCAACAGAAATATTGTTAAGTTTTAAGCATATAGCATATAAACAATAAAAGAAAATTACCTTTGGGTGTAATTGCTGCTACACTTTCTGTTAAACTTTTTATTTCTATTGAGAAAAGAAACGTACTTAGCGATGCGCAGTATTACAGACAAAATAATACATTTATTCGCAAAAAATCTGTCAATTAAAGTTCTAAACAATATCTATAATGTTCTCTCAACATACTTGGAAGTATTACTTTTATTGGGTTTTTTCGCTTTATTCCAAACTTTTCAACTAAAACGGAGAAGTCATTCTGAAACTCGTCCTCAAAAATGTCGGAGTCAATTATAATATACCTGGAAGTAAAACATTAATTGGATTTTTTTTTCTTAAAGAAAACATAATCAATCGTAGTATACATTGATTCGTTCTCATTCTTCACATGGAGGGTGAGGGCATCAGAGTCGCAGGTTATGTCCACTGGTTTCTTTGCCTTAATTGCTTCCAGAAGATCAACAAAATCACTACCCGCAAGCGCGATAACTTTATTTGGATGACTGTCCCCGACTTGAAACCAAATAGGAGTATTTAAAGTATTAC